CATTTTTATATACCAATTATGAACTAACAGAAAGGGAAACAAAGAAAACAACCCCATTTGCAATTGCTTAAAAAAATTAAATACCCCGAAATAAATTTTACCAAGGATATAAAAACCTGTATTTGGAAAATTATAAGACATTGAAGAAAGAAATTGAAGAAGATATAAATAAGTGGGAGCATATACTGTGTTCACTGATAGGATGAATTAAATTGTTAAAATGTTTATATTACAAAGAAATTTAGACTCACACAGTTCTTATTAAGATCCTATGACACACATTTCACAGAACTAGAACAAATATTTCTAAAATTTCTATGGAACCATGTAAGATCCCCAGACAGCCATGGCAATCTTGAGAAAGAAGAACAAAGTTGGAGAATCATGCTACCTGACATCAAACTATACTACAAGGCCATGGTAATCAAAACAGCATGGTACTGGCATAAACACAGACAAGTAGATCAGTGAAACAGAATAGAGAGCCCAGAAATAAACCCACCCCTTTTGTGATCAATTAATATTTAACATAAAATGGGGTACAGCCAGCCTATTCAATAAATGGTGTTGGGAAAATTGGACAGGTACAGGCAAAAAGATGAAACTAGACCACCAATTTACCCTATTCACAAGAATAAACTCAAAATGGATTAAAGACTTAAATGTAAGTTGTAAAACCATAAAAATCACAGAAGAAAACATAGTAAAATCTCAGACATTCCTCATCACAATATTTTTCCAGATATAGATATAGATATATAGATATATAGATATCCTAGGGCAAAGGAAACAAGGGGGAAAATACACAAATGGGACTACAGCAAACTAATAAGCTTTTGCACAGCAAAAAAAAAAATCAACAAAATGAAAAAAAGAATCCACTGTATGGGAGAACATATTTGCCAACAATACATCTGATAAGGGGTTAATTTCCAAAATATATAAAGAACCTCTACAACTTAACACCAGGAAGACAAACAATCCAATTAAAATATGGGCAAAGGACCTAAATAGACACTTTTCCAGAGAGAACATACAGGTGGCCAATAGACATGAAAAGATGCTCATTGTCACTAATCATCAGAGAGATGCAAATTAAAACCACAATGAGATATTACCTCACATATGTCAGAATGGCTATCATCAATTAATCAATGAACAAGTGTTGGCAAGCATGTGGAGAAAAGGTAAACCTCATACACTGTTGTTGGAATGCAGATTGGTGAAGCCACTGTGGAAAGTAGTATGAAGATACCTCAAAAAATTAAACATGAAATTGCCTTATAATGCAGCAATTCGACTTCTGGGAATATATCCAAAAAACCCCAAAACACTAATAAAAAATATGTGCATATGCACTCTTGTGTTCATCGCAGTGTTATTTACAATAGCCAATATTTAGAAGCAGCCCGATTGCCCATCAGTAAAAGAGCTGTTGTACATTCATGCAATACTACTTGACCATAAAAAGGAAAAAAGAAAAGGAAATCTTACCACTTGTGACAGCATGGTAAGTATTATGCTAAGTAAAATAAGCCTGTCAGTGAAAGACAAGTATGATATGATTTCACTCATATGTGAAATCTAATGAACACAATAAACTAACAAACAAAATAGAAACAGACCCATGGATACAGAGAACGGAGTGACAGCTGTAAGAGGGGAAGGATAGGTGAAAGTGGTAAAGAGATTAAGTAAAAAACAAATGAACAAATAAACCCAAACCTCATAGACAAAGATTGGTGATTTCAAGAGGGAAAGGGTGATGGGTGAGGTCAAAGAGGGTAAATGAGGGTTTAATGTTGACAGAAGGAGACTTGACTTGGGGTGATAAACACACAATACAACACACAGATGATATATTATACAGTTGTATACCTGAAACCTATATAATTTCATTAACCAATGTCACCCCAATAAATTTAACAAAAAAGAGAAAAGTAGATTTGCTTTTTAGGAACTTTCAAATATACAATAAAACAGAGTAACTTCTTGATTAAACATATTTGATCGCCTTTGGCCTATAACTGTATACCCAGTCAACCGGTCAGTACAAACTTTCCTGTTTGTTAGACTTTTCAGCATCTTACCTAATGTGTATACCAACCATTCTCTGCTTCTCTGCTACCACCTAACACTTAATAAATCATGCCCATGCCAGTGCGCACTACGATGAACAGTGTTCCAGAAGAGAACTAGCTTCATTATGCTGAGCTTCTAAAAAGATGCATCTTCTAAAAGTAATGGGTATATAAAAAAGCAACAAATCAACAAACAAAACAAACCAAAAATAAACTCATGGATACAGAAACGGCAGAGTGGTAGTAACCAGAGGGGTAGGGGAGTGGCGGGAGGATTAAGAAGGTAAAAGGGGTCAAATACATAATGATGGATGGAGATGAGACTTCAGATGGTGAGCACACAACAAAGTACACAGCTATCATATCATAAAGTTCTAATTTATATAATAAAAGTTATATAATGTTATTAACCAATGTTATCCCAAATAAATCCAATTTAAAAAAGCAAAACAAACAGAAAAATACTAGTGAAGTTTTAAAAAAATTACAATTTATTTTCAGGTAATTGTAGATTCACATACAGTTGTAAGAAATCATAGAGAGAGATTTTATTACCAGGTCTCCTCCAATGGTAACATCTTGTAAAATTGCAGTACAATATCACAGATAGGACAATGATATTGACAGAGTCAACACAGAGGACACTTCCATCAGGCAAGCACACCACCACGACTTCCTTTCCCACCACCTCCTCCCCAACCTCCTGCTACCACCAGTTTGTTCTCCATTCCTATAATGTTGTCATTTCAAAAATGTATGTAAATGGAGTCATAAAGTATGTAATTATTTGGGGGTTGGCTTTTTTCACTCAGCATAGTTCTCTGGAGATTCACCCCAAAAGTTTTGCATGTGTCAGTAGTTGCTTCCTTTTGTTGCTGAGTAGGAATGTGTCATAGCTTGTTTAACCATTTACATCTGGTTGTTTCTGCTTGGGGGGTTATTACAAATAGAGCTGCTGTGGTATTCCTGGACAGATTTTTATGTGAGCATAAATTTTCTCTTCTCTGGGCTAAATGCCCAGAAATACAATTATTGAGTTGTATGATTGTTGCATGTTTACATTTTTATGAAATTGTGAAACTTCCCCAAAGCATCTGCATCACTTAACATTGCCACCAACAGTTTATGAGGGATCCAGTATCTTTGCACTGTTGCCAGCATCTGCTGTGGCCACTGTTTTTTAAACTCAGCCTTTCTGATCATTGTGCAATGACATTTAGTTGGGGTTTAATTTGCATTTCTCTAACAGCCAATGATGTGGAGCATCTTTCCAAGTACTAGTTTGTCATCTGTATCATTTTCAGTGAAATATCCGTTCATGTCTTCTGCCCATGTTCTACTTGAATTGTTTTTGTGTTGTTTTATTTTTATTGATGAACTTAGAGAGTTCCTTATATATTCTAGACACCAGTCTTTTATTAGATATATGTTTTCAAATAATTTCTATTACTAATAATTACTATTAATTATTTCTATTACAAATAATTTCATCTTCTTAACAGGGTCTTTTGCAGAGCAAAATTTTAAAATTTTGATAAAGTTCAATGTACTACTTTTTCCTATTCTGAACAGAACTTTAGGTGTATAGTCTTTAGCGTGTTAATGTGATGAACGTATTACCTAGGTGCCAAAGATTTTCTTCTTTGTTTTTTCTAAAAGTTATGTAGTTTTAGATTTTACATTTAAGCCCATGCTCCATTTTGAGTTAATTTTTGTATAAGATGTGAGGTTTAGGTCAAGGTTCAAATTTTGCTTGTGGATATCTGATCGCTCTTGTACTATTTGTTGAGCAGGTGTCCTTTCTTCTATTGAATTTCTTTTGCATGTTTGTAAAAACTTCATTAGATACATTTGTGTGAATTTGTTTTGGGGTTCTCCATTTTGTTTCACTGATCTGTGCATCTTCCCCTCTGCCATTCCACACAGTCTTGATTACCGTTTCTATATAGTATGTTTTGAAATTGGATAGAGTGATTTATTTTAAACTTCTCTCCAAATGGTTTTTAGCTATTTTAATTCCTTTGTTTTTCCATATAAATTTTTAAAAGATTTTATTTATTTATTTTTAGAGGGGGGAAGGGAGGGAGAGGGGGAGAGAAACATCAGTGTGTGGTTGTGTCTTTCGTGCCCCTCACTGGGGACCTGGCCCTCAACCCAGGCACATGCCCTAGACTGGGAATTGAACTAGCAACCCTTTGGTTCAAAGGCCAGCACTCAATTCACTGACCACACCAGCTGGGGATCCATATAAATTTTAGAACACTCTTGTGTATAACTACAAGAAAATCTTGCTAGGATTTTGACAGTGATCTTGTTAAACTTGTATGTCAATTTGGGGAGAATTATATTTTTACTATGTTGAGCCCATGAACATAAGTTTCTCATTTATTTAGATTTTCTTTTATCAGCATTTTGTTGCTGTTTATACATTTTTAGATTTAAACTTAAGTTTTTCATTGTTACGAGCAATTGTAAATGGTATTACATTTAAAATTTTGGTGCCTAAGTCCTTTTACTAGATTAAAAGATATATTTTTTTGTTTGTCTTATTCCCTGAGACCTTGCTGAACTTGTTTATTAGTTCTAGAAGTATTTGTTATAAATAAATTCCTTGGAATTCTCAACATAGATATTAATACATTATCAATAAATAATGACAGTTTTATTCCTTTCTGTCTAATTTGTATGTCTTTCCTTTCCTTTCCTTTTCTTTTTTTTTTAAAGATTTCATTTATTTATCTTTAGAGGAGAAGGGAAGGAGAGAGGGAGAGAAACATCAATGTATGGTTGCCTTTCGTGCATCCCCTGCTGGGAACTGGCCTGCAACCCAGGCATGTGCCCTGACTGGGAATCTAACCACAATTGTCTGGTTTGCAGGCCTGCGTTCAATCCACTGAGCTACACCAGCCAGGGCTTCTTTCCTTTTCTTGCCTCATTGCATGAGCTAGAACCGCCATGTTGAATAAGAGCAGTGGGAGTAGATATCCTTGCCTTTGTTCCTGCTCTTAGGGGAAAGTATTCACTCTCATATCATGTTTAATTACCTGTAGGTTTGCTATCATCTGTATTTGATTGTATAACAATCATATTGAGGAATTTCCCACATCTTCCTAATTCCCTGAGCGTTTTATCATAGTTCTCTTTTGGGTTTTGTCAAGTGCTTTTTGTGCATCAATTAATTGATAAATGATTTTATTCTTTAGCGTGTTAATGTGATGAATTACATTTATTGATTTTCAAATATTAAACTTACTTGCATCCTTGAAATAAATCCCTGTTAGTAATGATATATTCATTGTTTTTATATTTTGCTGAATTCTATCTGTAATTATTTTGTTAAAGATTTTTGAATTATAGTTATAAAAGATATTAGACTATAATTTTATTTCTGCCCTCCCTTCTTTCTTCTCTCCCTCTCTTTCCCTCCTTCCTTCCTTTCTTTCTCTCTTTTTTCTTCCTTCCTTGCTTTTTTTTCCATTTCTCTCTTTCTTCCTCTTTTACACTAGCTCCAAAGTAAGTTGGGAAATATTCCATCCTCTTCTAGTTTCTGGAGAGATTATGTAAATTGGTATTAGTTCTTCTTTTGATAGAATCCTTTACTGAAACTATGAGGGTGTGACAATTTCTTTCTGACAATTTTTAAGTTATGAATTCAATTTCCTTAATAGTTATAGGATTGTTTAAATGATCTATTTCATATTGAGTTGTGTAGTTCACACTTTTCATAAAATTGGTCCATTTCATGGACTAAGTTGTCAAATTGATGTGTATAGAGCTGTTCATAGTATTTCCTTATCACTTCAGGGTCCGTAGTAATATTCTACTTCACTCCTGATATTGGTAATTTAGGTCTTTGCTGTATTTTTATTTTCTTGGTCACCATTGCTAGATGTTGGCCAATTTTATTGAACTTTTCAAAGGTTCAGTTCTTATGTTATTGATTTTCTCTATAGTTTTTTTTGTTTTTAATTTTATTAATTTTTGCTCTTATCTTTTTTACTTCTTTCCCTCCTCTTGCCTTGGGTTTATTTTGCTTTTCTTCTTCTTATTTCTTGAAGTAGGAACTTGGATTATTTAATTAAAACTTTTTCTTTTTTTATAATGTGCTTATAATGTATTTCCACCTCAGCACTATATTAGCTGTATTCCTCACATTTTGATATATTTTATTTTTGTTTTAATCCCATTAAATTAAAAAAATTATTTTAATTGAGGCTTCCTCTTTGGCTTATGGATTATTTAGAACTGTGTTGTTTAGTTTCCAAGTGTCTAAAATCTTTTCTGTTTTCTTTGTGCTATTGATTTATATGATTTCATTTTAGTCAGAGACCTCATGGACATGTATGATGTTAATTTTACATTTATGATGTGTGTTATGGTTTAGAATATGGTCTATCATGATACATATTCTGTGGATGCTTGAAAAGAGTGCGTATTTTGCTGTTGTTGGGTGATGTATTCTATAAATGTCTGTCAAAGGCCCTCTTCATGACAGTGTGTTGAATTCCAACTGCTTGCTGATTTTCTGACTGGCTGTTCTACCAATTGTTGAGAGAGGGGAGTTGAAATTTCCAAGTATAACTGTGGTTTGTCCATTTCTTCTTTCAGACCTATCAGTTTTTGCTTCACATATATTGCAGCTATGTTATTTAATGCATACCCACTTAGAATTGCTACATCTCCTTGGTGGATTGATCTTTTGGTCAGAGTGATTTCCATGCTCTGAACTCTACTTTATCTGATATTAATACAGTCACTCTTGCTTTCTTTTGATTAATGTCTGTATAGTCAGTCTTTTTCCATTATTTTGCTTTTACCTAATGTATGCCATTATATTGATGCTTCTTATAGCATGTGGTGAGGTCACATTTTTTTTTTAATTCACTCTGCCAAGTTTGTGACATACGAGGCAAAAAAGAAAACTCAGGACACTTATCTCTGGGCTGCCTTTTGGGTTTGACAATGTAGCTGGTCTGACTTCTTTTCATCTTTCAGAATCTTCTGTTTATGTTATACATGATGTCCAGAATTCTTAGTTATAATTATTGGAATGAATGGGTAAAATTATATCTATTCCACACTCCAGGAAGTAAAAGTCACTGATGTAAGCACTGTGGCTGCTGTTGTATTTCTTCATCAGGAGTGCAATGCAGTCAGTATGTTGATTTAGAGAGGGGACTTTGGAGTTAAACCAGCCAACACCCACCATTCTACTGCCACTCAAAACCCAGAGTTTATTTAGAAAATGTTGCATATTTACTCTTACATTTTTAAGTTTCAGTTACCTTCAAAGAACTCTCCATCTGAGGCAATACATCTATTGAAACTTTTTCCCACCACTCAAAACAGGTTTTGAACACATCATCTTGATGACTTTTAGTGCTTCTGCCGTTTTTTGTTTCACCTCTTCCATATCAGCAAAACATTTCCCTTTGAGGACTTTTTTCAATTGGGGAAAACACACAAAAAAAGTTGCTTCAGGTGAGATCAGGTGAATGGAGAGGATGGGGCACTGGCATCATGCCATATTTTTGGCTGGAAACTACTGAACATTCAGTGTGGTGTTGTCAGAAACACTTGTAAATCACTTGTAAAACATGAAAACATGAACTGTGTTGAAAGGATCTTTAAAAAAAATTCACTGAGGCCGAACCCGCCTCTTACAACAATGCCGGCTGGTGCATTGACACAGATGTTCTCCTAGAACACTCACCTAGTGGGGGAAGTCTGTATTACAAGGGGCCTGCCCTCCAGAAGATAATTCCAGGTTTTTGGGGGAGAGGGTCCCCCTTCATATAATCTTGGCAAGTAAGCAAATATCTCTAAGATGTAACATTATTTATCTGTAAAGCTGTACTTACACATTGTTTTGAGGGCTAAACAAGATTAAACATACAGCCCTGGCTGGTGTAGCTCAGTGGATTGAGCATGGGCCTGTGAACAAGATGATTGCAGTTCAATTCCCAGTCAGGGCACATGCCTGGGTTGCAGGCCAGTTCTCAGCAGGGGACGCACAAGAGGCAACCATACATTGATATTTCTCTCTCCTTCCCTTCCCCTCTAAAGATAAATAAATAAAATCTTAAAAAAAGATTAAACATACAAGTGCTTAGCCTGTGACTATTGAGAACTTGAAATATGACTAGTATGATTGAGAAAGTGCTGCTTTTCATTTACTAAATTGTAAGTCTCTTGAATTTAAATAGTAACATGTGGCTCGTGGCTATTATATTAGACAATACAGACTTACATTGTTATAAACAAGGATAACAATAATCCTAAACAGAGTAAGTGAAATTATGGAAAACTGCTTTGAAGACCCTGTAGTATACAACCTAAAGTATTATTTGTGTTCAATACAATAACTCAAAAACCTGGGTATAGACCAAGAAAATGTCACCTTCCCCTTCCAAAAAGAACTGACATTTTTTGTTATGGGCACGAATAGGACAGTAAATACCACAAGAAAGGAACAGTTGAGGGAGAATGGCAACAGGAAGCAGAAGATGTGCCTGGACTCTCTTTAATGTGTGCTCCTCTCTGCGACCTCGTATGGCCACTTGGTGCAGCATCTGCCTTCCACACTGTCACCTGTGAGTGGTACCCTCCCTGGTGGTGCTGTGCTGTGCTGGGCCTGGGCCTGGGCAGTGACTTTGTCTGCTTCCTCACGAACATTGCCTTGTAGAACTCATCATGGCGATAGGTCGTCAATGAGTATGTGCTCTGGTATGAAAAACTGTCCCTACTGAGAACTATCTTTGATTCCCATCAAAGCATTTTCCAACAGAAGAATATGAGGTTCACTGACAGCTCACTGCCCCCACCCATGATAGGTGTGAATCCCATGAAACAAAAGAACCTTTCTTCCTGAAATGAGGACAGGGACCCATGGGGTGTTATCAGGTGGCCAGGGTTCTCAGCATATTTGTACCACCAGCCATCTCCCTCTTCCTGTGTGAAATGGAGGATCTGAACTCAGTGGCCCAAAACCCTCACCAAGGCCATCATTTCATTATTTATGACTGAATCAGAGGTGCAACAAGATCATGATTTGGTCAAAGCCTCCCAGGAACATTGTGGCAGAACTGGAAATACAACCCTCTGAACTCCTTGGGTCTTTGCCCCATAACCTGGCTTGGAGCTCATCTAGAAGAAGGTGTTGCTCAGGGCTGGACGACAGAGCACCTACTGAGCAGACCTGCTGCTCCCTCCTCCCACAGCCCCTCCTTGCTCAACCCCTCACCTGTTAGCACCAGCCCTGTTTTGGATGTGTGGGAAAGAGAAGAAAAACAGAATAAAAGAAATAGGGAGAATTTTTTTTTAAAAAGGAGAGAAAAGTAGAAATGATGTTTAATTTGTATAGAAAGAAAGCACTTAGAAGAGCCAGCATCTCCACATTTAACCACCACTGTTAAAGAAAGTGGGGACAGAGAAGTGAAGTGACTTGTTACAGGTGACACAGGTCTGTTTAGTGAGTAGATATTAACAGTGGTCAGCAGGGCCTGGGAATTAAGGCCAATTAGAGTTCTAATCCCAGTTCTGCTGCTTTCCAGGGGAACGTTGATGAGGGCAGCCTCTCTGAGCTTCAGCGTTCTCATCTTTGTAAAAGGGGTCATGATATCAACACCACAAGGTTATAGTGATGATTAAGTGAGATAATGTATGCAACACAGCTGTCCAAAATAAAAACACAATAGAAGGGAAAATGTATTAGTGCAGACTAGAACCAACATACTCTGTTTCAGTCAAGTGATCTTCCTGGTATAACATGCTGTCCCTCCTCCTCACCTCCCTCCGCCCCAAAGCCAACTCATTCCTTTAAGTCCTGTAATTAGCTGAATAAAGAGCACAGACAGAATCTATGTTAAAAATGCTCTCAGAGCCAAGTGAAATCCCCAGGGAAGTGCCGAAGTCCACATGGCCAATTACCATTGTATCATTTCATTTTATCGGAGTGACTAATACCCAGAGACAGTCATTTATACACTAATTGCAGAGAACAGATAGAAATCATGTTAAATGAGCCCATCTGTATTTCTGGGGAAAAAACAAGGCTCTCTGATTCAGGAGTAGCTTTCTTTGACATCTTCCATGGAGAGGGTGGCTTCCATTTCCAACTGGACACTGGATTTCAGTTGTGTGGGTAGCATTCTTGAGCTGACTGCAGATTTACAGTATGGAACTGAAGTAGCGGCCTGATGATGTGCCAGCTCCTTTCTGTCAGAATTTGATTTTTCTGAATTCAAGCACTGGATAGAACAGTGATGCCTGTATGCTGCAAAGAAACCAGAGGCATGGAATGTCACCTTGAACTTGTAAGACCTCCTAGGGCCTCAGTCCCCACTTCTGTGCTGAGGGGGTGGAGGAGAGAGGCCCTTCTTCTGGAGAGTTTCATGAGATCTCCTTGCCAAGGGCTACGTGAATCATCACTCTAAGCCTCTTGCCTGTTTTCTACTTTCCAACTGTATCTTCTTTTCCTTCCTTCTCCCTTCTTCTTCCTGCATTTAACCATACTTCTGCTCAACACCAAAGTGAGAGAGGTTGGTTGTTTTACAAAAGGTGGAAGGCAAAGATGAAGATTGATTTTCTTCACTTTCTACTTCCTCACTTCCTTACCTGCACAGTGACAGTGAGCCCTTTGCACTGGTCATTCGAAAATCTCTTATCCCCCAACACTATGCTCACCCCACCTGCAAGCCATCAGACATTCTCATCAAAACTCCCTAATCCCTCCTACTTAAATCCTGATTCCCCAAATTCAAGGTGAAGTGCCATCTTCTTGAAAGGTTTTCCTTTGGTTCGAAGGCTGGCGCTCAATCCACTGAGTTACACCAGCCAGGGCTATCAAAAGGTCTTTCTTAACTACATTGTCCTTTGCACAACTCCCATCACTTCTTTAAAAAAAAACAAAGTTTAGTACGTAATTATATGCAACTTGTATTGGCATGTCATTTAGATGCCCACCCTGATTTTGAGGTCCTTAAGGGAGGAGACCAAGTCTCCCATCTCTCTGCACCCTCCACAGGTGTCCCGTTCAAGGTGAGGCCCAGAGCTGGTTGCTAACTCAGAGACTCTCCTTCTGAGTTCCCCACGCTGGTGTCTGCAGGAGGGCACACACTCAGGAAGCCACACAGATAGTTTTCTGTGGTGCAGAATGGTATAGTTCAATGCAGAACACCTCCTGAATTCCTCCAATGTTCCAGATACTGAGTTGGCCACTGGCCATATCAGAAACACGTTCTGTCTCTACCTCCTCTTTGTAAGGAGATGGCCAACCCACCTACAAGCTGGCCTTGTTATTGTCATGGAGATGACAAACAAAGCGGTTATTTCAGCTATGCCAGTATTTCAGCTGTCGAGCTCAGCTCAAGTTCAAGTGCCTTCTGGGACCTTCCTCAGGTTGTATAACCATAAGAGTGTGTAACCTCAGACTGTGTTTCCTAACAAAAGAAAATGAGGTTGGGAGGGAGGTGGGGAGCAAGGGGCGGGGGAGGCTGGGATGGGAAAAATAGACAAAAAACTGTACTTGAAAAATAACTAAATAAAATTTTAAAAAAAAGAAAAAAAAAAGAAAATGAGGCATGCTGGAGTATTTGAGTGAGGTGATCCTCTCATGGGATGATCTTCTGAATCCGTTTCAGTGGCTAGTGAGGAGTTTCCGGTTGGCAGGAGGCTCTCCTACAGCTGACATGGCCAGGGATGAAGTTCCTTCTCCCTGGATGTGGAACTTAGAAAGCTCCACATCCACCTAAGTCTGGGGAGAGACTCACATTTAGGAGGCAGAGGAAGGTCCACCTTAGGACTTTCATGGCTCTAGCTACTTAAAAAATTTTTTTTAATCCTCAACAGAGGATATGTGTATTGATTTTAGAGAGAGAGGAATGGAGCGGGTGGGGCGGGGGGAGAGAGAGAGAGACAGAAACATCAGTGTGAGTGAGAAACATCGAATGGTTGCCTCCTGTGTGTGCCCTGGCTGGGGATCAAACCTGCAACCTTTTCAAGTACTGGATGTTCAGACCAACAAAGCCACCGAGCCAGCGCAGCTCCAGCTGCTTTCACCTTCACAGGCCCCTTCTTTCATACAAAATATCAAAAACTACATTTATGATTCTTCTGGTATAAATATAACTATATTGTGCATTAATATATTTTCTTTGAACTAAAAGTTTATTTTTAATTTCTGATTTTAAAGAAATTAACACACAGCCATGAGTCCTGAAACATATCACAGTCTCTAGCAACTGGGCGCCTCTGGTCTGTGCTCATGTCTTCCCAGTTTGGACCTCTGCGGTGCTGTCCTGCCTGTGGCCTTAGCACCAGCTCACACTGCCTGCTTTGTCCATTTGCTATGCTCCCATCAGTCCCACTAGATAGACAGCAGGGTCCTGAGCCTTTTGGAGCTCTATAGCACCATGCATAGTGCTTGACTGAGATTAAGACTCTAGAAGTATTAATTGCACAGCTGTGTACAATCAGACAACTTCCTTAATGCACTCAACCTCATTCTCCTTGTCAGTAACTTAGAGGACAAAATCTAAATCCCCCTCATGGTACTGCTGTGAGGATGAATGAGATGATTCATGCTTAATACAGCATCTGGCACATGGTAAGAACTAATTAAATGTGAACTTTTTTTATCATTATGATTTAATATGACAATAGAATACTTGGGTTTTCAACTAACTGGCACAATCACTTCTCTGCCTTTTGGCTAAGATCAAGTGTAGTATCTGTTTATTGGTTTAAATACCTGGCACAAGATGATGCCATGACTATAGTTTTCATGGCTCATTGCAGCCATGATGCAATAAGCTCAAGAATGCTTGCTCTCTTCCATGTCCCTATTGTTGTTCAAGTGCAAACACTGTGCACATGGAAGAGGTAAGCCTGGGTCCTTCATAAGCTAGTGGCACCTTAACATAAATGTGCTTCTTGTCAGCCGGCAGAAGGGACAATTAAGAATTGGGGGACAGATGGGATGCTGGGGACTTTCTTTCTCTCCTTTTTCTTCTTCCCTCCTTTTTCTCCTATTCCGCCTCCCTCCCTCCCCCTTTCCCTCCCTCCCTCTATTCCTTCCTTCCTTCCTTCCTTCCTTCCTTCCTTCCTTCCTTCCTTCCTTCCTTCCTTCCTTCCTTCCTTCCTTCCTTCCTTCCTTCCTTCCTTCCTTCCTTCCATGTGTGTGATGCTGGCATTGCCACACTGTGATGAAGTCCTCTGATTTTAGATTGACTACACTCCTTGTGGGACTCTTCTCCACTAACTGAAGCTGTAGGCTGTGAATTCAGTTCTACAAGTCTTTGTGGTAGGTGGTCCAATAGTCGCTTGATCTGAACACTGGAAATGGCAATCATGCCTGTTGCCTAGCAAATACTTCCATTTTGTGACCATGTCATAATCATGGACACAGGACAGCCCAAGTAGGAGCTAAGGACCTGGTCCCAGGCCTGCCTTTGCCACACACCATCTCTGACAGTGACATCACATAACCTTGGAAGTCCTCCATTTCTGTTTCTTTTATAAAACTTGAATAATAGCAGTAACTCCCTTTCGGGGCTGTATGCATGAGTCAGTGCATGTGAAGCTTATGGTGTCTGGCACAACATAGTTTTGCAGAAGAATCACATACAGTACAGCAGAACCAGACATGGTGGTGCCTCTGGCTGTCACCTGAGCTGGGGACTGAACCACCGTCCACCTGACCTGCAGAGCCACCAGCAGCCTGCCTGCCTGCCTGCCTGCCTCAGCCACTGCCAAAGCCAGAGTCTGGATAGCCCTGCTGCATTCAAGATCATATGATCAACAGGAGGAAATATCAGTCTGACAAGAAAATGACCACAAAATGAGGCAGATTCTCATGGCTACTAGTAGGATTCATAAAACAGAGCTGCCCTGGCAAAGGACAACAGAAAAAATCAGGCAGTTCCCAAAAAACATTCTAAAAATGAGAGAATGTAGAGAGGTGCATATTCCTAAAAGATAGAACAATATTACAAAAATTCCAATTTACCTCATATTTTCAACAAATATAATTCTAATGAAATTTTCCTTATCACTTAAAAGTATGTTATAATTTACACACATAAAAGAAATGACCAGAAAAAGATGGGTAATTCAATAAATGGAGAAAAAAACAACAACAACAGCAAATAAACAACAGGCACTATAATAAAATGCTGAGTCATGTGTCAGAGAAAGGCCACTGGAAGTCACACCCTCCTTGCACCCACTTCAGAGCACAGAAGCCTGTGTTCAGAGTTTATTACAAACATGGGCAATGAGGCAGCAACAGGACGAATAAGAACAGCCTAACAGAAAATTAATTAAAGCCTAAAAAAAGATATGTAATTCCATAACACAGCATGCCTCTGATAGATAGCCCTACATATGAGGGGTGACACAGAAAATCTGGAATTTATTTATAAAAATTGTTTTTTTATTCTTACATGTTTAAATTTCAGTCACCTTCAAAGTACTTGCTATTTGATGCAATATACCTATCGAGATGTTTGTTCCACTGCTCAAAACAGTTTTTGAATTTGTCGATTTTGATGCTAAAATTTAGTGCTTCTGCTGTTTTTGTTTCACCTCTTCCACATCGGCAAAATATTTCCCTTTCAGGATTTTTTTCATCAGGGGAAACAAAAAAAAATGTTTGCGGACTTCTGGCCAAGATGGGGGCATAGGTGGAAACACTGTACCTCCTCACACAACCAAGTTTATGAACAACAAATATTTAAAAACCAGAGTGCGACCAAAACAGAGAGAAAAATTAAACTGTACCAAAATCCAACAATGAACCATTCACCTAGATCAGTAAGAGGGGGGGAGTCAGTGGCTGTCGGAGAGGGGTCACGCAAGAAAAAGCGGTTGTACCAACACAGGCGCATAGGCGGCAGTTAGCAGATCCCAGGCATGGGGTGGCAACAGGCAGACCCAGTGAGGGTGTAGGTGGCTGGCTGACAGTGGTCATACATTCGCATGCAGATAAACCGGGCAAAGGAGTGAGCAATGAGATAGGCTGCACAGTCCAGGGTCCCAGTCCTGGGAAATAAAGCCTAAAAGCACCAACTGGAAAAACTTCTGGGGGTCAAGGTGCCAGGAGAGGCTCCCAGGTTCACAGAGAGTTTGTTGGAAAGACCCACAGGGTTCTGGAGGGTGCACAAGCCCACACATCTGGGAACTAGCACCCGAAGGGCCCAATTTGCTTGTGGAAAGCAGCAGAGGGGACCGAAATCCTAGAGAGAGCAGAAAAAAAAATGCCATTGCCCCTCTCTGACCCCACCCCCACATACAGCGTCACAAACCACCTGGATGGCCCTGCCCTGGTGAACACCTAAGGCTCTGCCCCTCATACATAACAGGTGCAAACAGAGCAAAACATTGTGGCTCAAGAAGAAGAACAGCTCAAAGCCCCAGAGTCAATACTTCTAAGCGACCAAGAGATAGCTAACCTATTGGATGCACAGTTCAAAACACTGGTGATCAGGATGCTCACAGAACTGGTTGATTTTAGTCACAAATTAGATGAAAAAAATGAAGGCTTCACTAAGTGAAATGAAGCAAAATGCACAGGGAAACAATAGTGATGGAAGAAAACTGGGACTAAAATCAATCAAGTGGACCAGAAGGAAGAAAAAAAACTACCAAACAGAAAAGAATGAAGAAACAAGAATTCAAAAAAATGAGGAGAGGCTCAGGAACATTCAGGACATCTTTAAACATTCCAACATCCGAATTATAGGGATACCAGAAGGGGAAGAGGAACAGCAACAAGTGGAAAACTTAGTAGAACAAATAATAAAGGAGAACTTCCCCAATCTGGCAAAGTAAATAGACTTTCAGGAAGTCCAGGAAGCTCAGAGAGTCCCAAAGAAGTTGGACCCAAGAAGGAACACACCAAGGCATATCATATTTACATTAGCCAAGATTCAAATGAAGGAGAGAATCCTAAAAGCAGCAAGAGATAAGGGGACAGTTACCTATACAGGAGTTCCCTCAGACTATCAGCTGATTTCTCAAAAGAGACCTTACAGGCAAGAAGGGGCTGGAAAGAAGTATTCCAACTCATGAAATCCAAAGATCTACATCCAAGATTGCTCTATCCAGCAAAGCTTTCACTTAGAATGGAAGGGCAGATAAAGTGCTTCTCAGATAAGGTCAAGTTAAAGGAGTTCATCATCACCAAGCCCTTATTATATGAAGTGTTAAAGGGACTTATCTAAGAAAAAGAAGATAAAAAAGACGAACAGTGAAAGGACAGCAGACTCACAATTATTAAGAACCACACCTAAAACAAAAGCAAAGTAAGTGGACAGCTAGATCAGGAGCAGAACCATAGAAATGGAGATCACATGGAGGGTTAGCAACAGGGGAGTGGGAGGAGGGTGGGGAGAAGGTACAAAGACTAAGTAGCATAGACAGTAGGTAGAAAATAGATGGGGGGAGGACAAGAATAGTATGGGAAATATAGAATCTAAAGGACTTGTGATGCATGGACATGAACTAAAGGTGGGGAGTGGGGGGAGTGGGTGTGCAGGGTGGAGGGGAGTGAAGGGAGGGAAATGGGACAACTGTAATGGCATAATCAAAAAACATATCTTAAAATATTTGCGATCTCAGGATGAGATTCGGTGAACAAAGAGAGTGGGACATGGGGGTCATGACATTTTTTGGCCAAAAACTGCTGAAAACTGAGTTCCATGTTATCAGGTGAGCTTGTAAATCACCCATCATGAAATGGGCAAATATATTGAAAGAATCTTTAAAAACAACTCACTGAGGCCAAAAGCAGCCTCTCACAACGATGCTGGCTGGTACACTGATACGGTTGGGTTTCTAGAATACTCCCTTAGTGTGGGAAGCCTGTACTACAAGGGGTCTGCCCACCAGAAGATAATTCTGTTTTTTTTTGCCCCCCACCTCATTCTCTGGTGTCTTCAGAGGAAATAGTGGACACCCTGACCCTTTAAGGCTCAGGCAAGCTGAGCAGAGGCCGACTCCTTTGGGAAATAGTGGCTCTACCTCCTACAAGCCAAGGGTGCGAAGGGAGGGCTGAGTTGGGGTACCACAGAGAGAAGAAATGCCAGATACTTGAAGAGAATGTCAGCGTGTGTGATGTTCTAACAGCCTCAATGCAATATGCTGTGTCAGAACTAAAGGACTCACCCCAGCCCACATGAGGCATAATTTCTGGGGACAGGGTTGGGAATTTGTCATATTTAATAAGCTTTTAGGTCATTCTTATGGTCACCAAAGTTTGAAAACCAACACCTTAACACCCACCCCTAGAGCTGTTCCCTCGACACAGTGGGATGCTCTTAGGCCGCACCTGTTGACGGTGAGGATGGAAGGCTGACTGGACCCTCAAGACCACTATTAGCAAGAGATGCTTCATGACATATTCTTTCTATGCCTGTCCTTGAGCCTTGGAGTTGGCCATGGATGCCCTGCTTTCAAAGAAAGGGTGGGATCTGGAGTCACTCGAGTATGAAATTGTGATGCTCCTTACAGTCCTATTCCTGTCAACCTGAGACTTGCATTATTCCACTGTCTCCAGGCCCCCGATCTTGGTCACCAGGTGGCCCTTGATTTTGACCGTGAGGATCACAGGCATCCAGACTATCGGGAAGTGGCCACGAAGGGATGGAGCTCTGCAGCAGACAGTGTTCTTTTAACACATGAGGGGGAGAGTTAACAGAAGGTGAAACTGAAGATGTTTTGGCAGAGGGACAGCATGGCTGAACCCTCCCCAGTGTAGCTACGGCGGGAGTCTGCCGAGATGAAGGCTTACTTAGGGAATTAAGTGAGAAATAAGCTCTTTTGCCAACAGTCATCTCAGCTGCCAAAACCCCAATTATTTTCCTACTCTGAGATGATGCTAGAAAAA